CAACATATTCTGTTACACCAAATACACAAAATAATGATCTTTAAAAAAGCATCATATGACCCCTTTAAACTAAAGCCATATAGTATCAGATCAGCAACTTCTTATTAGTGAGTTTTTAACATTATTTGAATGTTATAACTGCATTTACCCATTTGAAATTACACATGGAAAAAAAAAACTAAAATATATATTTTTCAATGTTTATGAGAATTTTTTTAATATATCATTGTATGAAATTTATAAGAGCATATAATCTGAGAATTATCGATATTAAACCCATTGAAGTGAGTGGAATTTAGTTAAAATCCTTTGAATTTATAACTCATGATTGCTCAAAAACAAAAACAAAAATTTAAAACAAAATAAATTAATTTTACTTTATAATAAATATTTCATGTTGCAGTGGTTCATCAACAGATGGATATATTATGTTCATCAGCAAAATTCCGTCCCAAAATGTTTAAATATGGAGACAAGGCAACATGTTTTTACTAAACAAAGTTTTTTTGACTAATATAACTTCATAGAAAACTTTACAGAAAGTGTATTTGACTCCTAACGGGACTCCACACATAGCAGAAATGGTTATCTCTCTTAAAACAAAGTTCAAAGTTAAAACAAACAGGTTTTGTTCCCTTACTAAAAACCGTTTGAGGGGAAAGGAAAGGTCGTGACCTTCGTTTAGGGTCGAGGAAGATGGGAGGGGTCACAGGAAGTGACACAAAAATCAGCCAATCACAGGCTTAGAAAAACGGTTCACTGGGGCTCTGTACAAGACCTTTTCTTCCAAGAGTGAAGATAGCCTGCCATCATAAATATATATATATATACTACCGGTCAAACGTTTGGGGTCAGAACAATGTTTAATGTGTTTTACAGGAGTTTCTTCTGCTCATCAAGGCTGCATTTATTTGATCAAAAATACAGTAAAAATTTAAACGTGAAATATTATTATGATGTAAAATAACGTTTTTCTACGTGAATATCTGTTAAACTGTAATGTATTTCTGTGATGCGCAGCTGTATTTTCAGCATCATTACTCCAGTCTTCAGTGTCACATGATCAGTGTGTATATATATATATATATATATATATATAAAGACATTCTGACTGATTCTGATCAGATGAGTCACATTAAAAATTTAAAATGCTGAAAAACACACGAAATGTAAAAATACACCATTTGGTCACTACCAAAACATTTTTAATACTTTTGAATGCTGCTGCTTTTTTGTAAAAGCAATAAGCAATGAAAACGTAATAAACCGCACACTTCTGAAAGCCGGTCGTCAGTCTGACAGACTCACAGGAATCACACGTAATTGCCAGCAGCTGGAAAGCTTTGTTTCTGTTAGTGTAACTATTCTAATGTATGTGCAGATCCACCAGAAAGCACATGAGCGTTCAGAAAGAGCCTCCAGATACTCCAATGATCTGATTTCACACCGTTACAGAGCTCAAACTGATGGGTT